CCCCAAAACCCCAAAACCCCAAAACCCCAAAACCCCAGATAAAGGAAATTATAGAAGTTATATAATTAATAATAAAAGATGAAGTTCTTACTACTTTTGTGAGTGTATATTGGGGTTGTTGCAGCCAATGTGTGTCAAAATAGCGCCCTGACAGTAACGACACCTCTCTCTGGAAGTTTTGGAATGACAGGAATTACCTATACCTACTTTACAACAATTTTAGAAGATCAAGATAGTGAATTACTCTATTTTGTTGGAATATTCAGGCTGGTGTCTCCTCACGATACTATTATTTATAAGACAGGACCTGAGCTTACCAAACTCAAAGTCATGACTTATGATATCGATAGTGTGTACATTTCCTATGCAATGAACCCTAGTAAAGACTTTATATACTTTCAGGATCAGACAACCAGCAAATTGTACGAGATCAGGACTTCTGACTTGTTAATATCAAGAGAGTTGGGAGTTAGTTCTACCTCATTCTCTTTGAAGTGAAACATGAAAATTGGAATGGGTTTCTATTACAGCTTTATAATTAGCTCAGTAATACACACTTGTAGATGGAACCTGCCAAATACTAATCTTGACTGATTCACATTTGGGGTAGATAGTCCGGCCAATTTTGCTCCAATAAATGAAGAACTGCTATTTTTTGGGTCAGTTGACACAGTAGCTGATCAGTACTATCTGATAAATTACAATTTTACAGCGCCATCCAGCATAGTGTGGAAAAAGAGTATCGCCTGCCCCACTTCAGGCTGACAGAGTAAATATAGTGGCTCCCTTCAGAATGAAGATTGGATTTACACTATGGTTCTGTATGACCAAAACTTTATTTTTCATAAATTAAGTGTCACCGATGGAAGTCCTCAAAACTCTGGGCTGATTTATAATGACAGTGGATATTATCGAAGTTATTCAATGGAAGAGTTTAGCGATTTTATTGCAGTCTTGATTCAAGCTGTGCCCGGTACTCCTTATAAATAGGTTAATTTTAATAAACCCTTCTGATATACAAGTCCTGAAGGAATATAATTCTGTGCACTCTCTCTCTTACGACATCAAAAGGCTAATCTATCAAGGTGAAGAGCTGATGTATCATCTTGGAATATTTCCAAATAATCAAACATTCTTCTTTGCAAGATCGTCTACTAACAACATCGGGCAATTGAATGAGTTTCAAGAGATTACTCCTCTTTTTATGCCAATTACCACAAACTATCAGGTCTCTTCAACAGCATCAACTCCAAGCATCACCACAAGTACGAAGACAATGACTATTTCAACCTCATCTTCTATCTCGACCACTGACCTAACTTCATCCATCAATCCTACGTTCACCGAGCATGTGGCCTTGTGGAATGAAGACCACATCCAGTCAGTTCAGAGCAACTCCTCAGCGCAGTTGAACTTCACCTGGGCCTGAGCTCCGGCCTCAAATGGCACGATCATTGCTTTTAATCTAGCTCAGACTGGGACAAATTCAATTCTAGAGTGGGTGCAGCTGGATGCAGTCAAGCAAGAACTGTACCTCAATACCACTCCAAAGCTCACAGTTGAAGAGACTTTTTATTTCTCTCTGCAGATCTCTTTTAACAGTGAAATCTACTATAAGAAGTTTGAGATCACTGTTGAAGAATGATCCATTCAGAATTGTGTACTCTGTAAACTGGGGAATTCTAACATTTGAGAGACATGAGAAGATGGCTATCTAAACTCTAATGAGCCGGTATCTTGCTCAAAAATAGCTGAAATTCCTGAAACTTTAGGAACAGCAGAAGCTGAGGCTATTTTGGTGGCTTCAAGTGTAGTACTTGCAAGTGCTTCATCTATTCTATCATTGTCATCCATTAACTCTATCTTTAGTCTTATGAATAGTCTGCAGTTGGCGACATTATTACCTCTGGTTCCTGATTATTTCTCTCCTAAAGTATTAGATTTTCTTAGCGGAATGGGCTTCACGATGCTATCTTTTGACTTTATTAAGTTCAAAGATCTACCGTTTGCAAAAGATCTTACCAACTGGGTGTCATATCCTCAGTCTGATCAATATTTGAACAGCCTCGGAATGAGATCTGGGAGCTCGGTTGTCAACTACTTATCACTAATGGCTATTATTTTACTTATTGCGGTCACTCATTTTGGAGTATATTTGTTGTGTGTGTGAATTCAGAATTCCAAACACAGAAAATGTAAGAAGTTTATGGAGAGTCTGTTCAAGTTCTTTACATTCAATATTTATATAAGGGTATTCATCCAAGCATTTATGTTCACTACTTTGTCAATATTCTCTGAACTATACAACCTGAATCTCTCGACAACTGTGACTAAAATATCCTTTGGGTTATGAGTAATATTCTGAATATGCACAAGTGTACTATTTCTTCTGTCGTTCTATATGTATTATAAGTCATTTCCTCAGGTTGACTCAAAAAAGTATTGGCCATGCGTTGAGTACTTTAATGGGATAAAACCAACCAAATTCTCTAAATTATACTCAAGTCTTTTTATGTTAGTAAGATTATCATTGATTTCCTTACTAATATTTGGACAGTCTATTGGTTCACATGATAAAGCCACTTATTTCTATTTGGTAAACATTGCATACGGAGCCTACTTAATACTTGTAAGACCATTTGAAAATCTCCAAGACAACATAATCGAGATTATAAACCAGATAATTTTCTGTTGTTTGGCTATTCCTCTATCTTGGCTAAACACTGAGGAAGCCTGGACCCCATTCTACGAAAAGTACTACACAACAATATTTATAGTATCTCCAGCTATAGGGAGCATAATCTGACTAGGTTTCCTCATTAAATCAATCATAGTATACATTTACAAAAGAAAATCAAAGAAAACCCAACAAAGCATCACCCCAAAAGAACCCTCTCCAAACCAAAGAGCACCCCAAATCCAAGAATTGCCCAACTCCAGACCCCCTCGCTCCATTAACCAGCCTTCCTCGAGCATGAGCAGAAGTAATGCTCTGATATTTCCTCGCCAAAGCGGCCAAACCCGGCCACACAGAATGTTCTACCCTCAAAGAACTCCCATGAGGAGGAAATTAAATCCTCGCATTTAATTATTTACCAATCTCTCAACTGTGAATTCGTACTTGGGGTTTTGGGGTTTTGGGGTTTTGGGG